GGGGGGGGGGGGGGGGGGGGGGGGGGGGGGGGGGGGGGGGGGGCCTCCGTCCCCGGCTGACCCGCCCGCTTCCCCGCAGCGAGTGGTGGCGACGGTGAAGGGAGACCTGGCGCTCTCCATGGGCGGCTCGACGGCGCCGGGCGCGCTGCTCTCGGTCTGGGCGGTGGGCGCGGTGGGCTCGGCCGAGCAGAACCGGACGCACAGCGCGCGCTTCACCGAATTCCTGGCCGGCGAGCTGGGTCTGGGCGCCGACAGGTGAGCCGGGCGGGGTGGGGTGTGTGTGCGGGCGGGCGGGCGGTAGTCGGCCGAGGGTCTCTGACTTTGCGCTCCTCCCGCAGGATCCTGATCCGCTTCCACCCGCTGGAGCCCTGGCAGGTGGGCAAGAAGGGGACAGTGATGACCTTCCTGTGAGAGGAGATCTCCCCCACACAATAAAGCGCTGCACCCACCGCCTCCGCCTCTTCCTCGGGGCCGGGGGGCGGAGGGAGCGGGGAGGGCACCCAGCCACGCTGGCCCTTGGCCCGGGGAGAGCAGAGGCGCCGCATCGGTTATGGCCCAGGAGCGCGGAGGCGTCGGGCTCTCCCTGGGCGCCTTCCAGCTTGGGAAAAGAAGGAGCCCGGTGGGCGGGCGGGGGTCCGCGAGTCTCCCTGATTCTCCCCGCCTTTCCCCGGGGAGCCTCCGGCCGTGGCTGATGTGGGAGTGGAAGGAGTCGCGGGCCCAGCCGGCTTTCCTGGGAGAAGGAAGCGCAGTCGGGGCTGTGCCTGGCCTTGAACTCGCCTCGGCGTAACCGGCGTTTCGGCTTCCATAGACTTCTGGGCAGGCTGAGACGCCCGTTGCAAGCCATTGGGGCCCGCTTCGTCAGGTGACGGCCGGGGTGTGTGTGCAAAGAAGGCAGGGATTCCTGAGAGGTGGAAACAGCCTTTGCGCCCCTTGGTCCCACAGCCTTGCTCCAGCCCCAGAGAGAGCCGGTTCACTCCCAGAGGTGTGATCGGGAGCCTGAGGAGAGGCACAGGGTCTCCCACACAGCCCCTTCCCCTCAGCCTTGCCCTCTCCAGCAAGGCCTCGTAGGCTCTTCTTCTCTGGCCTCTTCAGGTTTGCACCAAGGAAGAGCAGAGCAGACTCTGTGTGTGTGTGCATGTATCCCTTCAACAGATTAACAGAATTGTAAGGGACCTTGTAGGTCATCTAGTCCAAACCCCCACCCCTCAGCAGGAGACTGTGTGTCTGTGTGAATCCTCTTTAACAAATCCATTTTATTTATTATGGGTTTTAGCAAATCCCTTTAATCTATACCTTGAAATCTATAGCCACAGTTCTCTCCCTGTAAGACAGCAGTTCTCAACCTGTGGGTCGCGACCCCTTTGGGGGTTGACTGACCTTTTCACAGGGGTCGCTAAGACCATTGGAACTCTAAACTTTAGAATCCCCCTTGCGTTCCTCGAAATCCCCCACGAATGGACTCTGGAGTCATCGCTGGCCGCGCAGAGGGTCGCCACTGTTCCACACTGTGGAAAACATAGGTACGCATGCACACCCCGTACAATTACAGCCTCAGAGACTTTGTAATGGGGGTAACTTGTCACGCGCCCAGGCTTCTGCAGAAGTTGCCCTCCAAAGCTCTTCGAAGCCCTCCAAGGGTGCTGCCAGGTACTTTTAAGAGTGAGTGATTAAGTGAGTGAGACAGACAGACCAGGGGTGGGTTGCTCCCTCTTTGGTTTGAATGTGGGCATGCGGGCGGTTTAGTGGTTCACCTTTGCTAGTTTGGGCGGGTGGAGAATGGAGGCATACAATAGTCGAGGGCGAAGGTGCTCCCCTTCGCCCTTGGTGGCAGAGGTTCCTTTTCACAAGCCTCCTTCCTTTCTCTGCCTGCCCGAATGAACGAAGGAGGTGTTGGCAGCAAACTGCCCGCTGGCCCGCATTCAAACCAGCCCGCCCCCTCCTGTCTTTTGGCATGGGCTCTCTGGAGGGGGAGGGAGGTTCTTTCCGTCCCCCTGTGACTGGAAAACAGACATTTTCACAGCAGCGGCAGAAACACAATCCCAGTCAGTCAATTCCAGCTCTCCCTTCCCCAAGCATGTCTTGTTGCTGCTGGAACCGCTTTTGCTGAATTCGGCGTGGCGGCAATGGCAAGAAGTGGCTGCCAGCGAAGCTCTCAGTGATAGCAAAAATCCCGCCGCCGCACCAGATTCAGCAAAAGCGGCTCCAGCAACAACGGGACCAATAAGGGGTGGGAAATCCATGCAGTGGGAAGAAAACACATGCATTCCCCACCCCCTCCATTGGAAATGAGGCAACTGTCAAGAGAGAAGAGGGCAGTGCACGCCACATGGGCTTGTGCAGCAGCCGAAGAACAGGAGACGAGGTGACCACAGTGTGTGTGTGTGTGTGTGTGAGAGAGAGAGACAGACAGACAGAGGCACAGAGAGGAAGGGAGGGAGAGAGAGACACAGACAGAGATGGGGAGGGAGGAGAGAGACAGATACAGAGAGAGAATTAGAAACAGAGGAAGGGAGGGGAGAGAGACAGATACAGAGAGAGAATTAAAGAGACAGAGGGAGGGAGGGAGGGAGGAGAGAGACAAAGCCACACAGAGAGAGACAGACAGACAGAGAGAGAAAGAAAGGAAGGAAGACTTGGTGGCTGTTTTGTTTTTCTTTTCTTTTTTTCTTTTTAAAAGAAAGACACTTTTTCCACTTAGAGCAGGGAGCCTGCTCTTAAACTTCCCAGACAAAATTTCATTTATTTGTAATTAGAAATAAATATTTCACAATATATAATTACATATTGTTTTTGTGATTAATCACTGCTTTAATTATGTTCAATTTATAACAAAATGCATCCTGCATATCAGATATTTACATTATGATTCATAATAGTCAATTCAATTCAATTTATTGAGTTTGTATGCCACCCTATTCCCGGGAGACTCAGGGCGGCTCACAGTAAAAAAGGGAGGGGAT